TGTGAGTTCACGGACCTCTCCCCTACGCCTAATCCTGTGATTGTCTTTCACATGCTGTACAAAATTAGCAAGAATTTTTTATTTGCTACCAAGTCCCAAACTAGTTAAAGGCACACTAAAACAAAGCAATCAAACAAACAAAAACCCATTGCCCTGGAGTCGATTCCAACTCATAGCGACCCTATAGACAGGGTAAAAGTGCCCAAAGGGTTTCCAAAGAGCGCCTGGTGGATTTGAACTGCCGACCTTTTGGTTAGCATCCGCACTCTTAACCACTGTGCCACCAGGGCTCCAAAAGCACACTAGTAGTCTTAAATCTGAACTTGTCCCCCAAATGTTTGTTAATGTGCTGGCAAGTTAGTTCCCACTGTGTATTCAATCTGAAGTACTCAAGGAGATTCTTTCCTTGAACCTTCAGGCCCTTCTTATTTGTGCCTTATTCCAGCATCCCGCCTCCATCACACATCAAAAGAAATAACAAAAGACTAGTCAAAGAAAAAGGCTATGAGCAAAAAACCATAGAGGAATTTAGGAATGTTTTCCCTCTTCTAGGAGGAAAGAAAGTTGTCTTTGGTGCTATTAAACAGGAAAAAGTGTGGATGACCCAGAATGCCTGGGGGATGTGTTCAGAATAAGAATACCTTCCTCTCCCCCTCCTTTAGCTCCACAGAAGCTAATAAGAAGCAAAGGGAAAGCCAACAGTTGTTCTTGGTGAAGGGGCAGGGGTCAGAAATGCTGGCCTGAAAACCCCACTTGGCAGAAGGTTGGAGAAACTACATTTTCCAATCCATTTAAAAATTTTAAATTCAACAGTATTTTGCAGTTTATTAAGAAAGAATGATTAAAGATTATGGATTATTTGGTAATTTATGATTGTATTATATCTCCTTTTATTTCAGATTAAAGGAGCCCTGGTGGCACAGTGGTTAAGCACTGGACTGCTAACTGAAAGGTTGGTAGTTCGAACCCTCCAGCCACTCCGCAGGAGAAAGATGTGACAGTCGGCCTGGAAACCCTATGGGACAGTTCTACTCTGTCCTATATAGGGTCATTATGAGTCAAAATCAACTTCACAGCAATGGGTTTGGTTTGGATTATTTCAGATTGCAGTAATCTTGATCAGAAACTGCATTTTCTTGTGATAAGAATTTAAATAAGAAGCTGCTGAAAATTATCCAAGTCTTTAAGTAATATTTTTAAAAAGTTAACAAAGCAGTAAAATTAGATCCCCTAGGAAAAGAGAACTGCAGTTTTCCTGACAGAATTTTAAATTATTTTAGAGACGTAGAACTTTTTCCTTGTTTCCTCAGAAGGTCGTAACCCAGAGTTTGTTATCTTGTCTCTTTCTGTCAAGAACTGCTTTGGTTCTCTCAGATGTCTTACAAAAGGCAAAACCACACACTTAAAACTCACCTTCTACCAGGATTGAAGGTGGGCAAGTAAATACGGGCTTTCTGTGGTTGGGAAGGGGAGGATCACATAATCATCAGCTCTACCAAAAAAGAAGAGATTATAGAATTCCCTGATAAAATCCAAGGAAAGTATAACCAAGTTCTTATTTTGCCATTAACAAAACAAACAAGGTGCCATTGCATTCTTTTCAGCAAATTAAACAATTTTAAGTGATCATTTTTAGACACTTCTAAATTTTCCGAATAGTCTCTTTATTATTGGGTTTTGTTGTTTTTCAAATGTATTTGGAGAAAACCAAGTACTGAGTAGATCTGAGAATAGAAGTAAGCCCTTCATAAATACAATTGGCGTTTTGCTTAAGACAATTCTTAATAGAAATCTTTTAAAAAATGACACGTTTTTGAATGAAAAATATTAACAAATGTTGGAATATCGAGACCTGGATGTATAAAAAGACTTTTTCAGTCTTTAGGATTAGGCAGCTCAGCGCCATCGTAAAGCAATGGGTATAACTGCTGCTTTGCGATATTCGTGCTACTCAAATGACATCATACTTTGACTTTCAAACACTTGTCAAAAAGGCAAATCCCGAAAAGATCAGTGAAAAGCAAGCTGTTGAAATATTAACTATACAGAACAAGTATACCCCTTAGCCAATAAATTTCCTTTTTCGTTTAAAGAGAAATTTACCGAGGTCAAATAAAGGCTCTTTTGCCGTTGAGGAGAAGAGAGTGGGGGAGGGGGGAAGGGGAGAGGGAAGACACGCGACAAACGTAAAACAAACGGGTGGCATTCAGTCAAGAAGACAGGTAGCGCTCCGGAGGCGGGTGAGTTGTACAAAGTGAGCTGGGCGCACCACAGCTTTCCACAGCCGGGCTGGTCTCGTGCTTCTTTGCTTTTTCCTTTAAACCTGGCCCTGTTTCGGAGGAGTCCAGCAGCAGGGGGAGTGTTCGTTGTTGGGAGGCGGCAGGTAGGAAAGGGAACCTGATCTGCCCCAAAAGGCAGCAATTAAAGTCTTAACGGCGACCCATCTGTCGTGGGACTGGGACCCCCTCCCCCCAGCAAGCCGGTCCCGCGCCCTTTGTCTGAGGGGGGGAGAAGAAGAGACAGGTTCTGCGGCCCTAACAGCAAAAGGAAAGAATATTTCCAGCCTGCGCGAGCCCCAAGTGGTTGCGACCGGGCCAAGGACGCTCCGAATTGTTGCCCCGGGATGTGGCGCCTTTTCCCGGGCTCGGCCCCAGCGCTCTGCGCTTGCCTCCTTCTGCGCTTCTCTACGGCTGCACACTATCCTCCTAGCCCGAAGCCGCCCTGAAACCTGAAAGGCCGGTCGCAATCTAGACCTTCCTCCAACCTGGCCCTTTGACCGCTCTCAACTTTCAGCGGGACTCACGCCCCCTCCCCGAGTTCCTCAGCAAGTGGGTTTCCCCTCCACCATCCCCCAGCTGGCCTGCTTTACCGCTGGGCATGAGGCGCTTTCCTAGCCCGGGAGCTCTCCGTTTCCAACCCTCTCGGCTCGCGTGGCCAGGATGGAGCAAACCCTCGCGAAAAGCCGGTGTGGGGCCGAGGGATCCGGGTTGCTGGTTTGGAAAGTTCTTGGCGACCGCTCGACCGCGATAGGGTAGAGAGGAGGCCAACTGGGGCCAACTTCCTCCGTTTAGGGTCGAACTTGGCGTCTTTGGGTGGAATTTGACAAAGGCGTGACAATCCCAGAGTTGCTAGTCCGCTTGCATTGCAGGAAGGGGACACCCACAGCACGCCTGCCCCGATTCTGGCACCAGCCACCTCCCCCTCTACGCGCACTCACTCTGGGTAACTCACCACACAGATGACACCCTGGGCTACTGCGGGAGGCCACCCACCGGAGCCGCCAGGCCGCATGGTCCCGGGAATCGCAGCTCTGCGCGCTCCCTGGGTCCCCCGGCGCGAGCTCGCGGCCGCCGCGTCCTCCAGGCCGGCGCAACGCCTTGTGCGCGCCCGGCCCCGGGGCTTCGTTCCGCGCGGTCGCAGCCTTGCGCAGGGCTAAGCCAAGGAAGGTGAGCGCCACTGCACCCCGCGCGCCCCACGCTGCACCCACCCAAACGGCGGGAACCCGCTCAGCCTGAGCCGGTGCCAACATCGTCTTCCAGGAACACTCGTTTGCTCGACCGCTTCGCCCTGGGGGTCTGGACTGAGGGCCACGCCTGGACGGGTGCCCATATGGGGGGCGCTGCAGGGGTATGGCCTCCTCACGCTTGTTAGGAGACGAAAGAGCGGCAGTGGACACGACTCTCGCGCCCCCGGGTCGCCGTGCTCGCCGTCCCGCGGAGCACAGACACCTTGGCTGCCGCCTGCGCTGCTTCGGGGAGGCATGCGGGCACCGGCAGCCGAGGGGTGGAGGTGGAGATCGATAAGTTCAGTTTCCCTTCTCAGCTCGCCATTCAGTACTTAAAATACTCCGAGAGAGCTCTAGCTGAGCGCAGATAGTTAAGAAAGAAACGCTCTCTTTCCGGGCTCTCAAAGGAAAGTCATACGAGCGCGCGCGGGTGTTTGTGTGTCTCGGGGGTAAGGTCCCGTCCTAGCCGAGGTTTCTTTTGGTGTGACACTGCTTATTCCTTGCAACTCCTCCTTAATTTTGTGGATGCGTCTTTCCCAGGCCTATTGTGACGGGCATCGCAGTTACAAAACCACAAACACATAACAAGCCTCCCAAGGCCTTTAATTCTCAGGGGCGTTTTGAGAGGCCAGTTACCTGCTGGCGTCTTCCAAGAGTCCAGATTCGGTTCAGGCAGCGCAGAGTCTGGGACCCCGGGAGCGCGCAGCCCTCCGCCCTGGAGGAAGACAGGGCTGCGAAGGAGGCGGTCCTGGCTGGGCCCGGACCGGGCGGAACCACAGGGGAAACCTTGGAGTCCGTTGCCGGAGACTCCCTGGCGGTGGCTCTCTGGAGCCTGGCGTTTGATAAATATAGCCTGGCGTTTGCCCCTGAATTAGGCTCCATTTCCTTATTTAGCCCTTGCACAATGATTTTAGATGATGTCACTTAGAGCTAAACGAGAAAATTGATCTCAGATTTGCTTGGCCTCTAAAGCCTGGTTAAGCAGATTGAGAATTAAAAAGACAGAGGAAAAAGCCGTGGGGGGAGGGGTTGGGGAGCGAAGTGTGAGCTCGCCAGCCTGTACGCGGAGGGGAGGGCGCGCCGCGCGGCCGAGAGCGCCCCCGCCTCTTCTGGGCGGGGGCACCTCGCTCACCAATGAAAAGTAGTCGCTGACTGCAGAGAAAAAAAAGTTTTCCTGTTGACTGTTGGAAGCGAATTGAGCAATTATCTAGTTTACCTTCTCCTCTTGGAAGTTAACGATTGGCGAGATCTTGGCTGCGTTATTGACACAACACTTTCTATTGATAGAAATAAGTAGTGATTGTCCCCGAGTCATGGGCTGGCAGGAGTCCATTGGGCTGGGCAGGCAGGTTCGGCTGGTGATGCTGGGGAGGAGGCGGAGGAGGCTGCTGGTGGTGATGGTGCCGGTCCCCCTCTCCGCAGGTCTGTGACAAGGAGGGAACAAGGCAACGACGGTGCAGCCCTGCTCCGGCTGACGGACGCTGGCGGCTCAAAC